GACGGAGTCTCGCTGTGTCACCTAGGCTGGAGTGCAGTGGTGCGATCTCAGCTCATCACAACCTCCGCCTCCCAGGTTGAAGTGATTCTCCTGCCTCAGCCTCCCGAGTAGCTGGGTAACAGGCGCCCACCACCATGCCTGGCTAGAGATGGGGTCTCACCATGTTGGCCAAGCTGGTCTCAAAGTCCTGACCTCATGATCCACCTGCCTCAGCCTCCCCAAAGTGCTGAGATTACAGGCATGAGCCACTGTGCCCAGCCGGGATTGATGTTTAAGGGTTGTGAAAGGCACTGCTCAAGGGGGATCTTTTGGCCTGGCTCTGAGGTTGATGGAGGATGCTGCTAGAATGGAGAGAGAACAGCAGGAGTCAGAGGCTAAGTGTCAACAGGACTTAAAGCTGGATTGCCCAGGATGTTTGAAACAGTAATGATCAGAAGGGAAACCACGCTGCCCCTTTCTGTTACCCTCCAAAAAGCTGCGAATGGTAGAGTTTGGTTTCAAATCCAGCCCCCTTGCTGACTAGCTGTAAGACTTTGAGGAAATTATTTGCTATCTCTGTTCTCAGTTTCTCATTTGTAAAATGGGAAATGTGTTCTTGAGGCTATTTTGAGGATTCACCAAGGGAAAACAAAACAGTGCCTGACACATAAGAAATATACAAGCAGGAGCAAAGCGGGTGTGGTGGCTCACACCTGTGATCCCAGCACTTTGCAAGGCCAAGGTGGGAGGACTGCTTGAGACCAGACTGGGCAACATAGTGAGACCCCCATCTCTACAAAAAATAAAAACCAGCTGAGCACGGTGGTACACACCTAAAAGTCCAGCTACTTGGCAGGCTGAGGTGGGAGGATTGCTTGAGTGACTGAGGTTGCAGTGAGCCATGATCATACATACTCCAGCCTAGGTGACAGAGCAAAACCCTGTCTCAAAAAAAAAAAAAGTCGGGCGCGGTGGCTCAGGCCTGTAATCCCAGCACTTTGGGAGGCTGAGGCGGGTGGATCATCTGAGGTCCGGTGTTCGAGACCAGCTTGGCCAACATGGTGAAACCCTGTCTTTGCTGAAAATACAAAAAATTAGCTGGGCGCATGCCTGTAATCCCAGCTACTCAGGAGGCTGAGGCAGGAGAATCGCTTGAACCCAGGAGGTGGAGGTTGCAGTGAGCTGAGATTGCACCACTGCATGCCAGCTTGGGTGACAGAGAGACTCCATCTCAAAAAAAGAAAAAGTGGCAGCAATTACTACCATTGAGTGTGCCTGACCCCTGGAGCAGGGTTGGTTGGGGTTTTTTTTTAGATAGGGTCTCACTCTTGGCCAGGGTAGAAAGCAGTGATTTGATCAACCTTGAACTCCCGAATTCAAGTGATCCTCCTGCCTCAGCTTCCCAGCTAACTGGATCTACAGGCATGTGCCACCATGCCCCACTAATTTTTTGCAATTTTGGTAGAGACAAGGTCTTGCCATGTTCCCTAGGCTGGTCTCAAAGTCCTGGGCTTAAGTGATGCTGCTCCCACTTCAGCCTCCCAAAGTGCTGGGATTATAGGCATAAGCCACTGGGCCTGGCCAGCAGTGGTGGGTGTTTCTACTGAGAGAAACCAGATGTTACCTCTCAGCATCAGTAGTGGATTTGCTTTTCACCCAGTCTTCAAAAGGTTGCTGGTAGGGGTGCCTGTGTGTGCTGTGCAGCAGTGTAGAGGTTAAGAAAGGTCAGAGCTTCTCAAACTGTAACCTGCTTACGACTCCCCCACTCCCACCACCACCTCCCTGAGACTTTGAAAAAGTAGATTCTGGGCCGGGCACAGTGGCTCACGCCTGTAATCCCAGCACTTTGGGAGGCCGAGGCGGGTGGATCACGAGGTCAAGAGATCGAGACCATCCTGGTCAACATGGTGAAACCCCGTCTCT